TATTTTAAAATTTGTGTAATTGAGGAATTGAAACATATTACTTTGCTTTTTGTGCAAAGCATTATGTGCCTTTCTCTCTCTCTCTGAAGAGAGAGAAAATGTAGGAAAACAATCTGACTTACCAGAAACAGCATTGACTTGGAATACAGGATATCCTTTTTTACAAAATGTGTGCAAATAAACTTGTTGGTACAAGAGCTTTTAGAAAAGCAGTCTATGCCCTTGGAAAAGTCCTTTTGTGGACTCATCAATATATACTGAAACTTCAGGGCATTTGAATCATAAAGTGGGTAAATGTTATAAGTGTAATTTAATTTAGTTCAACATATTATACATTTTTTTTAAAGATTTTATTGGGGAATTGGGGGAGGGGAACAGCATTGGGGAATCAGGGAAGGGGAACAGACAAGTGGCTGTCCTTTTTTTCAGTCTAGTTGTGGAGGACGTCGCTTCACTGGTCCATGTTGGTATTATCATTGCACTCTTCCCGGGTGAGGCAGTCGCTTGCCTACCATTGGACGGCTGCTCATGGCAACTCACGGCAGCTCACGCGGGCTGCCAGCCACTCACGGTAGCTTACGGGAGCCCAATACAGCCTACGCCCTTCACCTCATGGCAGCCCAGATCCAAGTTGAGATGTTGTTCAGCATCTTAGCTATAGAGGGCACAGTGTCATTGGCCCTCATGTGGGATCTGAACCCAGGTCCTGCTTCTCAGAGCTGGCGTCCCAAGCCAACTCTTAAACAACACACCACTCGGCCGGCTCTATACATATTTTTTTTAACAATTCATACGATATGCATACATGTTACACACACAGTTTACATAGTTTAGAGGAAAAAGTGTGAGGCACAAGATGAAGATTTTAGCTCACGTTCCTATTTCTCTCAACCTCAGTTCCTTTTCTAAAATGTAGATAGGATGATCAATATGCTAATATCCTCATATTTACTTCTCAGTTTGCTTCAAGTCTCTATGATGAATGAATATTTGAGTATATGTATTTATGTAAATATAGAGGTATATATCTATATATGCACATATATACATATGGCAACTCAAATTTTCCTAAATACTTCACAGAAATTGTTTTTTTGATTTTAGTTTTTGTTTTCCTGAATCTTGAGTATTTATCCACCCATTAGATTTCTATTCTAGATAGAGTCATAGTGTTGTCCTTCTTGCAGGGATTTTTCTCTATGAAATTAACTTATGAAACATGAGGGCATCAGGACACAACACTGAGTCTGGTTTTTCCTAGTGTGTTCACTGCCTTGCTGGGCTCATGTTTATTTTACAGTGTGTGCTTGGTTACCAAACATGTCTGCAGGTTACAGGGAACCTAGAAATATGTATAAGGAAGTTAAATGAGTGTCTTAAAAATCTGATGTTCCATATGACCTTCCCAAAGAATCATGAAGTTACTTTGCAGATTCAAACATAGGAAAAAATTCTTCTGCCTCATAACAGAGTGAAATAATTTTTAGCATTTTTTTCTTCTTTTTTTCAACTTATCCTATTTGTAAGGGAACAACAATTTTCTTCCTTTTCAGAAACTGATTATCCAGTGGTAAATTATCCCAAACCTCTGATTCTACTCTTCTAATTTTTCTTCTGCTTTCTGTATTGGATGCCCACTAGCATTTCTATATAGAGTGGGTAGGATGAAATCCAAACCAATTGTACTTGATGTTTTAAACAAGGTTTGCTCTGGCAGCAATTTTTACTGTCAATTTATAGGACATTTAGAATTTTTTGTATGTT